TAAACATTCACAAAATAAATGTTTATAATGAACGAAGGTGAAAGTTTTAGAAGAAGAATTTTAACAGCTTGTTCTAAACTTGTTGACAACTTGTGACAAGCAGTGCGAAGACAACTTGTTGACGGCTTGTTGACAAACTTGTTACAAGATGTGAGATTTTTGCGTGTGTACCATCTAACATGCACGTATCACTATAATATAGCCCGAGCGAGTTACCGCTCTTTTGAACGTCTTGTTTTAGATTCTTCTTCTCTGAATGGCTCCATACCGAGCAAGTTGAAAAATTGTTTGATTTCCGCCAAGGTCAAGCCAATTTTCAGCTTGCTTGTCCGGTGTGCATAATCTAAAATTTATATACATGTGTGTCAAACCATATGTATATCTGATACCGTGAAACTGCTAATTCAACTTCCGGGTTTCATATGACGTCACGTGGGGATCAAAACTCAAATCGCAAAAACCTCTAAGCGCGAATAGAACGATGGACATGCATACAGCATGTGATTCTTGTTTTGCAGTTGACATAATGGCGGTCATGTTGGAGGAACGCTAACAAAAGAATATCAATAGCAGCCATTGTATTTGGAGCGTTATGCCTGCTGTGTTTGCCAAAACCACGGAAATATTTCCTGTGCACTTGTCAAGTTTTCCTTGACGGCCGTACATATGAACAAAATTTTTGTCTCCAAAACCTGTCGAGGAAAGGTTGTCAACTTTTTGCCGTTATATATCACTTGACTAGCATGAATACTATAGACATATACTTAAGCCTGGTCCACACAGTCATCCTGTCGGCGATTTTTCTCCCCCTGGCAAATGTGATCGAATGATATGTCAGAAACACGAAATCGCCGACAAAATTGGTATTGTAAACCTGGCTTTATATTAAGCGAGACATAACAACATAGTCCTAACATGTCGTGGATAACGAATTTTACAATATTTTGTGTGTTGGTGTGATGTACTCAGGTGATAAGATGCTTGTGATGTTACTCTGATAGTAATATACATAAAGATATTACTCGACTGTGATTGGTTGATTTCAGTGTAGTTAATCCCAAACAGCAGTGCAATTTTCTGTAATCACAGTGCAATTTTCTGTAATCACATGCAGTGCAATTTTTTGTAATCACAATGCAATTTTCGGTAATCACAGTGCAAGAATCTGTAACAAACTGATCTGATTGGTGGAAAAACATTGTGATGAGTAAATCAACCAATCAGTTTAAAGCAATTTAGTTTAAAGAAGTAACGGTCACAGATTGCTTCAAAGCAAAACAAACATGGCGCCGCGCTACATAAAGTAAAAGTTACCTTCGCGTGGAAAATATGAAAGGAAAAGCATGTACCTTAAACATGACTAACAAAAATTACATAGTTGAGTGGAATTTTCAAGCTGTTAGCGTTGTTTAATGTCATATAACAAAGCCAGGAAAACTTTGCAGGTGGAATGTTCGCTATGAACGCGTAAGTTATTAAAACTACAATTGTCTCGAACATTTTTATGTAAATTATTAATAAGTAATACTTGTAGCATGGTTTCTCGTGAAATTTGGATAAACATGCACTCGTAAGTTTTTCAAAGACCTCAAATAGCAATCGTCTTTCGGACTCGTGTTTTTTTGAGGTCTTTGAAAAACTCGCTCGTCCATGTTATATCCAAATTGCACTCGAAACCATGCTATTACCTATACTAATAAACACGCCCATTGGCTTTTCGAGCTTAGTGGCCGAATTTTTGACCGTCAGAGGACAACGCTATTTGAATTACATGTATTTATTTTCTATTTAGACCCATCAAGAAAAAAGACCTTCAGGCCTCACAGGGACTACCAGCTTCCTTTGATTGGCGGAATGTAGACGGAATAAATTACGTGAGCCCTGTACGGAATCAGGCACAATGTGGAAGTTGTTATGCGTTTTCTACTATGGGAATGTTTGAAGCCCGTTCCCGTATTCAGTCTAATCGTTCTACTAGTTATGTCCTCTCTACTCAAGATATTGTCAGCTGTTCTGAATATTCTCAAGGCTGTGAAGGAGGTAAACCTTACGTAGAATTGATTTATTACATGAATATTACAATTTGAGTACACGGAGCAAATAGACTGAAAATGTTTGCTAACGGCAATGAAAACAGTGCTTAAACGGTGTAGGTGAGTGCACTGCAGGTGTTATCGAAGCGTGTATTTTTTTACATTATTAATAAGTAAATGGTTTCTCCTGCACTTTGGCAAAACGTGCGCTCGTGAGTTTTTCAAAGACGTCAAATTGCACTCCCCCTTCGGAGTCGTTCAATTTTGATCGTATTTGGAAAACGCCTTCATCTATCTTTTTTTCCCAATTGAACTTGAAACCATAGAGTTCATTACTTATCCTAATTGAAACTTATTTGGTTTGATACTTACCATTAGTTACACACGGACAGTTTTTTTGCAAGTTAGTATCATTATATTTACTATGGTGATTTTTATTATTTAGACACTCATGCAGTTAGCTAGTTGGTTATTTCGCTTAGTTCGAAGTTCAACATAATTCTGAAAACTTGGTCAAACCAATCATGGATTTGACACATGATCGGACACTAGTTATTTTTAACTCAAAAGAGAAATGTTTTACATGTGTGCATTGCATTATAAATATTTTTCTTGTATACGAAATTTCAATACAAATGCAACATGTTCAGTAATAGCATTTCACTCGATCAATACACTACACCTTGACAGGGGCGCACTCGAAAATCACAAAAAGTCGGTCCCAGTTTTGAATGAGACTCCAGCAAATGTCGGTCCCGAATCTCTTCTATGAGAGTTGTTTAATCCACAAGCCACAAATGTCTGGTGTAGGCATGAGCATTTGTTCTTCCAAATTCTTCAACTCAATGCCAGAAAGTGTAGGAAATAGCATTTCCGAGCGTCAATTTTTTCCGGGGGTGCATGCCCCAGGATCCCCTAGTTTTCACCGTTCCTATTATGCTACTCTGTTACGTGCCACGTTTGCACTTGGCTGAAAGTCTTAACTATATGGTTCCCAACTTAGCTGGAACTGATTAGCCTCCCCAAAATAAAACCTGTTCCGTTGCCACTGGTTTTAGAGTATATATATATATATATATATATATATATATATATATATATATATATATATATATATATATATATATATATATATATATATATATATATATATATATATATATATATGATTTCTTGATAATACTTGGCCCTGGCTAGTAACTTATGTATTGGTTTAAAAGTCATCTCCCCCCTCTTGTTTTAAAGGTTTTCCTTATCTAATCAGCAAATATGCCATTGACTTTGGATTGGTGGAAGAATCTTGCTATCCTTATCAAGGAAAAGATACACAGTGTACGGAGTCGCCCACGTGTAAACGTCACCATGGGAACAACGACTATCACTACATTGGTGGATTTTATGGAGCCTGCAATGAACCATTAATGCGGTTGGAGCTCGTAAAGAATGGACCATTTTCCGTGAGTTTTGAAGTAACGAGTGATTTCATGCACTACAAGGGTGGTATATATGTAAATCCCGGTAAGTCAAACGTTAGAAACTAATTTTCTTCATGAATTATTAATGCTTTTACAAATTTATTTGCAAACTTTACCATAAATGACAGGTTGAAGATTTATACGACAACCGATTCAGTGACTCTTACCAGCTCTCGTGCAATCATGAGCCGGACAAAACAAATCCTATTTGTTCTTAGGTAACAATATTTTTCAATTCATACAGGTTTAAAAGACAAGTTCAATCCATTTGAAATTACCAACCACGCTGTGGTTGTCGTGGGCTACGGCATTGATGAGGCATCTGGAATGAAATACTGGATAGTTAAGAACAGTTGGGGTGCTCAATGGGGTGAGGAAGGATATTTTAGGATCATACGTGGTACAAACGAATTGGCCATTGAAAGCATGGCGGTTGCTGTAACTGTGCCCAAAATCTTTTGAGTTAAATATTAGAATAAAGAATCGACAGACAGTGCTCGTTACTTTTGTTTCAGACAAGAAATGCATCATGAAATTCATTTCCTTTAATTTTTTGTTGATTTAAAACCGATAGCAAATGCAGGGTTATAAAAAGTAGACAATTTCGAAACGGCTCTCGATTTCATGTCATAAAAATTTTGAGAAAAATGTTTCGTAAAGATAAATTTTCCAGAGCAGGGGGGGGGGATAGCTTGCGCGCGAAATTTCAAAACGCATTTTGAGTTTATGGGCGAGAAATTTGTTATGTGTATTATTAATGGTCCAAATATCAGAAAATTTGCTCAATTTTAGTTTAGTCCTGGAATTAAATAGCAATTGGTACGTACCAATGTTTATCACGCATGCTTAATTCATGCATTTACCTAATTTGCATATTGTTATTTTACTTTTTTTACAATGTCACAAAAATACACATTGTCTCCAAGAAAATCAAAGCCAAACTTTATGTAAATTAACATGATTTTTATCATGATTACATATGAAACCACCGACATGCATTCCTCATGAATTATTAATGCGTTTTTAAATTAAATAATTATAAGTAATAGCATGTTTTAGCAATAATTATAAGTAATGGCATTCAGGTCGATAAATGATTAAATATGAAATGTATCTGAAAGCCGAGAGAGGAAAAGTAAAAGTCCCTAAACTTTAATAATAGTAACAATATATTTAATTTCTGTTACAAATATTAATTGCACCGTACATTAATTAATTTAATTGTATACCTTAAGTATAATCTTGATGTCCTATTGATTATTAAATAGTATGACCTGAGGTAGAGGCGAAACAGCATGAATTATTAATGTTTTAACCATTTTGTGCATATCTTATATTGTGTTTAGCCATCGTTCTTTCCAATTTCCCCTAATTTTTTCGTAAATTTCTTCACCTTTTGCCTATCATTCTTAATTTTTAATAGGTGTCACTCAAATATGTTTTCTTCGTATCCAAATCCATGTTTTGCCGACTGGGATTCAATATTTTGCCTACTACTGGGTGTTAAACCCCCTCCCCCCTTCCCGCCACCCTTTAGTGCTGGCCCTGGGTGAGTATGAAAACAAAGTGAGTGCGAACTTTTTTATGTTGCTGATGTGCTTACTTTTGTTTGGACTTTTCTTTAGGTCTTTAAACACATTTAGACCTGTTTCACGAAAACAGAATTGAAGAAATGGCTTCTTCGCTTATAGCACGGTTGTTTCTGTTCTTATATCGATATTTTTGTTTACATAGCTTCAAATTTTGCTTTTCCTGATGAGAATTAAAATTTTTGCTGCTGAACAATTTTAAGTTGCTTGGGACTACATGGAGGTATAGCATAATCGGAGCCTAAAGCTTTACCATAAGTTTTATCTTGCATGCTGTTGTGATGCGGTAACCCTGACCCTAACCCTAGTTTTAATACCACGCATCTGACTGTTTTATATTTTAACCTACTTTTAATCACCTCAAACTATTATGTCTTCCTTACACAAAGTAATAACTCAACAAAGTATTGCTGACCAAGCTTATAAAAATGCCCAAATAATTTTGTCCAATTTCTTTTGTCAACCTATACATACGAGCAAAAAATGTTCTTAGCCAGTTTTTTATATGTAATTGTCATGGAAAAAATTGACAAAATTGCCTATATTACAATATAGACGACCAAATAAACGGGTCAAGTTGTAAATTTTGTTGAACTACACATGCACGTTTCGTTCAGCAAATTTTATTCAACAACGATAATTTACATTACCGTCTCGATCTTATTCTATTCCTTTGTATCTAAATCATGTAGCCATGCACGTGCTAAACTGTAATGTTTCTATGGGAAATTTAGTAGTATTAAATTTAAAGGTCCATACAGACCGGACGCGATTTGGCAACGCGACGCGAATTTTCAATTTTCAATGACATTTAACTTCAATATTTTTCTATGTTTTTCAAGTATTCGGAACCTCTTCAGCAATTTTAGCTATTTGGCCTGCATATTTTGTAAAATTTTTAACCGTTGGCGGTTTTATTTGTTTTTGAAAACTAAAAATTCGCGTCGTGTTGCCGAATCGCGTCCGGTCTGTGTGGGCCTTAAGGCCCGTTTACACGGGCGATTTTTTGCTGCGATTTTCTCCCTTTGGAGGATGTGAAAGAGTGGGTGAATTGTAAAAGTTCCAAGGTTATGAAATCTCATAACAACATCATTAAGTAATTTACTCCTTCACATCCTCCAAAAGGAGAAAATCGCGGCAAAAAATCGCCCGTGTACAGGTGTGCATCGGATCGGACATTTATAATCCGACAATTGGCTAATGTTTAAAATCCGATCCGATCCGAAATTGTCTAATCCGAATCCGATCCGAGTTGTGATAAAGAATTCCGATCCGATCCGAAGAATCCTTTAACAAAATAAATTTCTCATTCAAGTTGAAATGTTTAACCAAATAAATATAAAAGCAAGAAATACATATTAAAAGAAGCTGACAAAGTGACGTTCAATTGAAGTATCAAACGAAAAAGGCAGCGACAACTGCGATAATGCTTTGATAAATGCATGGATAATAAATTCTTGCAATAACGCGTGGATAATTAATTCATTTTATTTCGAATATCGAAGTCCGATCCGACTACGAAACAACTTTATCGATCCGATCCGAAATGTATATTTTTGTTCGGAAATCCGAACGAATCCGATCGGTTTCGGCTCGGATTTGCACACCTCTAATGAATACTGTCGGTCCGGAAACACAACACACTTATAATCACGCAATAATAGATACATGCACACTGTAATAACATTTTTACGAAATTATCTATGCCATGCAATTAATTACATTTTACTGAGTTTTATAGAGTGCAGGCCACATTAGAGTCATGAAATACAAGTTAATGTTTTTATCAAATATGTAAAAACTTATTCACGCTGACCTGTACAATAATAATAAATAGAGCCTTAATTCGATCGCTCTCCACCCACAGGAAAGTTTATATTTAGTATCCAATCGAAATATCCCAGACGAAATATCAATTTCACTGCACAATAACGTTAAAACTACTAAATATGTCATGAACAATAGTATAATCTAATTAGCACTAACCAAACAAAACACAGATTAAAACCTAGTATTTTCTGATAGACCAATTCGATGAAAAGCCGGATTTTGCGCCCAGACAGGGTTTTGTGTCAGGCCCTCTTTTCCCTTCCATCCACCCGCATTTAAGGAATGGAAAACTGTGCCTGATACTCTGGCTAGTTCCTATATAAACGCGGGATTTTGCTGTATGAAAACTTGTCATAGAAAAGGTGTTTTAAAATACGTGAATGGCAGTATATTATTAAAATAATCATATTGTAGAATACACTGATACCGAAGGAACTATACTCAGTTCCGAAATATCATCAACTCGAACCGACTTGACCACGTAGCTCAGTTGGCAGAGCATTGGACTAGCATCCCAAAGGTCGCGGGTTCGATTCCCACCCTGGCCAAGCTGACTTTTCAGCTTGCGCGGTGTGGATGCACACTCAGAGTAACATCACAAACATATTCACCTGAGTACATAACACCAACACACACACAAAATAATAATATTAAATAGTTTGCAAGAATACAGTTAGTCTTACAGATCGATATAGATGACTACATAGACTTTGCAAAGTTGTATTTTTTATATCTTCGCTGCGTCATGATATGCAGTGGCGTAACGGGAGGGTGTCAGGGTGTCCAGTGACGGGGGGCCCCCGAACTTTAGGGACCCCCGACAAAAACGACCTTAAAAAATTTGATAGCACATTTCTGGGGAATTGAATGAATTGAATTGAATTGAATAAAAAAAAACCATTCTCTGGAAAAGGCAAAATCCGTCGAGAAATTTCCCGAAGCTGCGACGGATTAAGTACGTCGCGGCTGAGGTAAAGGACGAGATACTAGAATGAATTACTTGCAATTTCATTGGGTATGTCCGGAAAAAAATTTGGACCCCTAAAATGGTACAATGTCCGAAAATTTTTTGGGGGGGGGGGGGGGGAGGTCGCCAAAAATAAATTGTTCCGAGAAAAATTTTTGGAGCCTATTTTTAGTGGAGCAAAGGGGGCCAAAGTGGCCGATTGACGGAGGGCCCCCAGCGGTTGCGTTACGCCACTGATGATATGGCAGGGACCGCATATGATATACTACACTGTCTCTTAAGCCCCGTTTCAATGTTGGTCGTTGGACAATCTTGGATGAAAATGAAGAACGCAGTCGAACGCGATCCAACATCAGCCACCAATGTTACCCGACACAATGTTCAAACGAGGCCAACAATGTTGCGTCCATAATTGTTCAACGATGTTGCCTTCGTTTGAATGGGACTTTAATTTCTAGCCGCGTTTGGGTCACGGCTCCTCGATCGTTTCGCAGAACACTATGGACCTTCGCATATGGGTGAAGGAGTTAAGGCAAGTGTTTCAATGAGTTTTGGAGGAAAATTGAACCAAAATATACGGCAGCAATATAATACACAATTATAACCAATGATATCTTACAAACGTGTGGAAGCAGCCATGATAACATCCTAACGTCACCATGCTTCGTGTTACCTCATCCGACATTTCGAGATAAGTGAAGTACTCCATTCCGACACTTTGTAAATCACTGACACATTTTAATACCGATTTATGTTCAATAGACTAATTTGGCTAACGTTGTTTACATCGTTGCTACCAATTCACAACTTTAGATAAACCACATGCTTACATACTATTGTTCCAACTAAGATTAGAATCATGTAGAAGAGTCCTTCACTTAGGGACCGGTCATTAATAATGGGAGGATGGCGGTGGATGATAAATACCAAGCCGCCCCCAATCGCACCACCCTTATATTCAAGACGCCCCCACCTTCATCTGGAAAACTTAGGACCCCCCTCCCCTCCAACATTTTGTTCTTTACATTTTTTGGTGTAAAATAAGTGAAGGGACAAGTACTGGGGACCAGTATTCAAAATGGTTGTTATTTACTACGACTCCTATGGTGAACTACATATACGTAATAAGCTATGGAAACTACTACGGATTATAACAGGTGGGAAAATTAACTGAGCATGCACGAAAACTGCTCGGGTTTTTAGCAGACTTGGTTGATTTCAAAAACAAACAACATGAACGAAGCCTTCGAAAGACAATTTAGCAGCGGCTGTTTAGGCCCACAAATCACCACAAAAATTGGATTCACTGACAAACTGATGTTGCAGTAATACTTTGATTTCCTATATTGCCACATATTTTACAATGTAAACTATTAATAATTTTGTGTTTTTAATTTAAATCAAGGATTGAAAATTATTTAATATGAACAGAGCAGGGCATTTTTTAAGAATTCGTCAGTGGGGGGGGGCATCTACAAAAAGGGACCATACTATACCGAGTGTGGAGCAATGATAGATGGTTTGTTGGTAACAAAAAGTTTGGTGTGGTATCGCATTTAATAGTAGGGGGGGGGGGGCATCTGGAGGTATTCTCCTCCAGAAAATATTTGTATTTTTCTATCCCTATGACTGCAATT